CCAGCGTGGTATAATAGGCCAAAACCTCCTTTAGAAGGAGAAGCCTATGTCCAGCAGTGGACTATTAAAGGCTGTTGATGATGTGATTGAATATTCTAGGCAGAAAGTAACAAGAATATACCAGCAGCAGCCAGGTAAGCGTCGATTGAGACATTTGCAGTTGTTGCGGAAATCTATAGCAGTCGTGGTCGGCTCAATGTGCTAGTTTCAAAATGGATGCCGATAAAAAGTTATAATCTTGCAACTTTTAACACCAAATACAAGCCCGTTTTGACTACCACAATTTGATCAGCAATGCAACATCAATTTTCATCCCCAGAGCTCAATGTGTGGACGTGCAGCGCTTGTGCACTTTTACCTATTTGTAGTCGACTAATTAAATGGCGGACGCCACACGCCACATCCTACTCCAGATGTCAACGCTCGTCTGTATGAGCCCTTACTGGTATATGTTTATTTTCGAAAGAAGTTAGGTTAGGGCCTAGTGTAAGTATTTTTCACATCATCTCGTTCTCAACAGCGAACACGTTCGGCATTGCGATTGGTGAAGATTTAAGTGTGTACTAATCGCAGCGCAGAATGCGGTCACCGTTACGATCGACTAGATGTGAAATAAACTCACGCTTAGGCTTCTGGACAGACGATCTTACTCTGAATAATATTGTGAAGAGACGAAACACTTCAGACACAACTTGTGTCTGAAGTGTTTTGTATCTCTCATGTAAAGGTAGAATATGCAATTTAACACAACTGTACTCATAGGTGAGGTCGGCTAGGTGGAGCAATTTAAAGTTAAAACCTAAGTCTCCAATTAATTTTCTTTGAATGTTCTCGATTTCATTGCAGCATCAAGCGTAGTGGGGATGTAGCGTATTTCAGATGACTTCGTACTAATTTACTTTAAAGGATTTCAGTTTTCTGAAATAATTTACAAAACGAAACAAGTAACATATAGGCTGTAGCGATCCCTACATATAAAGAATCAGAAACATACAACAGTGCCATACACCGAACTACGGAGTAACTCCTGAATGAGAGTTGCTAATCCTGTAGTATGATACTGTTTCTTTATGTCTGGGAGACGCCATATCACTCCCCTCCAAGACCGGAGGTCGATATCTTGATGAATCAGCTGTCTATATAATATGAATATGAATATCTAATATGCTGTATCCCAATAAGTCGGGATTGCATGCGGTGTGCGGTTGCTGCGTAGTGGCTGGCTGCTGCGGTCACTACCTGCATGTGGTATCTCTGTTACCGTGCCGAGGTTGCTGGCTGGCTGAGACTTGATTACTGCTCATCGCTGTGCGAGTGTACACGATGGTGGCGATGTAGTGCTGATAGGGATCTTCTTTTAAGGCTGCTTCCAATCACGTCGAGGTCACCACTGTGGAGGAGCGGTGTCATGTCCCTCTAACACTAAGGGAGGATCCTCCGACCAGGCAAGGTGATCATGCCTGGCGAGCCTCGGCCCAACGGTTGATGTTGGGAAGTTGTACTCGTATATACGCTTATCGGCGAATTATACATATCGCGATACAGGATTACCAATTCTCATTCAGGAGTTACTCTGTAGTTCGGTGTGTCTTCGTTAGATGGCACTGTAGTATGTTTCATTGTGTGTGGGAGTCGCCACAAGAACAAAGGCTTTGACTAATTTATTATAATAACAATATAAAATACATACAAATAGAAAACGTTTAAATACATGCAACAGGGACCAATGTCATTAACGAAAATAATGTTACGAGCTGGGTATATAATTAATAAAAGTTGTCAGTTAATTACTTTATTTCACTTTATTTGCAAACGCTCACTACTAGGAATCACTATATATCCTGTTGGTCGCACTAGAAATTCACTCCGATGTTATTCGCTGTGTCGTAAAACGAAACTGTCACGAACGGCCAACACGCTCCGCTTTTATTGCGCTTTTGAATTTTACTAGAAAGTTCCTGGTCCGTTCCAGACAAACACGAATTTCCCAGAATCAGTCACGCGTTACTTGCAGCGCCATCTAGCGTTGTAAGGATCAGATTAACCACAATCTTAATAGATGTACTTGGCCGATACTAGATGGCGCTGTCCTCCAAATGCCATACAATCGAACCATTTAATACTATGGCGCAACAATAATAAGAAGCCTAAGGAAATCCCCTAGGATACCACCCACCAGTAGGGAGGCTATGTTTGCTTGGACCAAACAAAAAACCCTATGGAACGCCAGAGGGCCCTGGTGGAGACTTGTCCAGGAGATAAGCCGAGAACTATGCACAAAAATAATTACAGTACCAAGGAGGCTTTTGCAATATAGTAAAAACATATACATATTTACAATACCTACCTTTTATTTTTCTGTGCGGAAATCCCCTTGGATACCACCCACCGGTGGTTATGTCGGACTCGAACCGACCAAAAACCGCACGCCGTCTCGGGTACCAGTTGCCGGGTAACCTGGTGTAGGAAGGAAATTCCTGATACCCCGAAGTACCTCGGTCCATCTACGGCGTGTAAATGACCCCTTCCTGTGTGGAAACCCCTATGTCCCCTTTGTGCTTCCCTAAAGGGCGCGCGCGCTCCGCAGCGCGTCTCGACACCACCCCAGTCTGCTTCTGCTGGGGTGACAGATGGCCTCACCTACCATCCCCAGGCCTGCGCTTATGGAGGACAGAGGTCATTCTGCGACCTCCGGCGCCTGACTCGTGAGCGGTACCTGGCCCGTTGCCGGGCCTGGCGCACCGGCAGAGTTCAACCTCTCCCGGTCTCGCTCCGCCATCTTCTTTGCAAGCATAACTTGCTCGAAGAAGGAGTCGGTTTAATTCTACGAACTTTCGCTCCGTACCATGGCGGCAATCATGTTACAGAGCGAGAGAATGCCCACTCCCATGGCCGCCACGAGTCAACGCCTCCGCTCCATCCATGCCGGCGAAGTGTTTACCTACCTAGTTTCCTTAATAAGATTTATTTATAATCACGCTACTTTTAAAAAATAGTAACCGTGTATAAACAATTACAACAAAATGCATTATTTTAAAAGAATAGGGGCTGTAGGGTAAATCTTTATTTTTACAACTATATTTGAATTACTATATTTGATATTACCACATTTCGCATTCCCAGGCTTTCGTCCAGAAGCTCCTTAACTGTTTTTACATCTTTTTCAATCTGGAGAAGCTATCGGCAGTTTCAAATATTGTATAAAAACGACATAATTTGTTGAACTCTGGACACCGGTCATTCTGGGTTTGGGCAAAGACTGAGAATAATTTTTACATGCGGACTGCATCGCCATAGTCTGTCATTTTTTGCGGGGCGGGGGTATACAAAAACAAAACAACACATTAAAAATTTCACACACACATAAACACATTCTGTGTAATAATAACAGTAATAATGAAGTAAGGCACTACATTGACGTGTTACCAAACAACCGTGGCTGGAACAACTATCGATACGCAATATCGATAAATTCGAGAAGTCGGTTAGGGAAATCAGGTTTCAAAAGTGATACAGATAATTATATAGATAGACGTTATTTATGAAAACAACAATCATCATTAATATTACCAATAGTTTTATCAAAAAGCATCGGGCACTACTCAGCGTCGGACGTTTATATATATAATATATTTATATATATATACTATAGCAATGTCAAAACAGAAGTTACATTGAGAGATCGGGATAATGAGTTTTAAAAAAATACACGAAATAATAATCAAACGATGAACCGTTCGCTGTAGCGTTTAGTACAGTACTAATTTCAAGCTTCAAATAGCGTCATGCTAATGTAACTCAGGTAGCGAAAAATCAAAAATAGCTGTTAGGTGTAGCATTATCGCAACTTTTATAAAAATTAAGACATTTCCCTTTTATAGTAATTATTGAAATACATTATTTCATCATTATCATCATCATAGGTAGATTATACTCATATTCGTGAGATGTCCTGCGTCTCTGTCTAAACATGAAGAAATATATAGCTAAATTAGGTTAGTTTCAAACGAATAGAGATGAAGAATTCTGTAAGTCAAACTTGTCTTCTTCAAAAAAAACAAGTCTTGTACCGAAATGTATTAAAGTAATAAGCAAGATTTAGTGGAAATTGCAATTAGTAATACATTTTTAAGTACTAAGTTTAATTCAAGTACCTAGGCATGTACTAAGAAGTAGAATGAGTATGCCGTTTTTTGAAAGTTTTCATTTGTTATTTAAGAAGGAGTACCCGACATTCGGCTAAATTTCCTACAGTTGCAACACTTGCACACTTAATACATAAGTTGGAACGAGACAAAATGACAACACACAGAGCGAGATCGACAATAACGTAGGGAAAGCTGGCCAGCGGACCTCTACATCGACAGGTTAGGACTGTCTAAGAGAAAATGTTTTACTTGAGAATATGACATAAAGAGAGGTTATTCCTAAAATATCTCCTTTGACCATTTCAATAAAAAGATTAAGAAATCCGGTAGTACTTCTGAAGTTTAATTTGTTTTGTGTAGTATTTTTTGAAAATTATATAATGTATATGTATGAAGTACCAAAAAGACTAACTACTAAGAAAGAACTAAGTCCTATTTTGTATCTTGAAATTGTTTTTACATAAAAATATAAATTTTGTTTTGGTGTGCACTAACTTATTTAACACTAGGCACACTACTCCACTTTGCGCGGCAGCGGTCAGAAGGCGGAGCTTATCGGCAAACTCGCGTCGAAGCTGGCTTCACTGTCAATTCAAGAGCCGCGGAGAGTACGCTCGCGTTTATTACGTGGTGTGTTTATAGTGAAGTGGATTTTGTGATGAGATTATCGAATGTCGTGAAGTGAAAGATAGTGTTGTTTTATTAAAAAGTGTAACTTGTGGGCTGTGCCATGTTCATGGTTCACTTATAGTGATTAATCAAAATGTGTGGATCACAATTGTGTGCAAAATTGATTTATGCCACGTAGTGACGCGAACGGGTAATGATTCCTAATGTGGAGTTCGAAGCAAGATGGTTAGAGAGACTCGGCATCTGTGGGTTGGAAATTTACCCGATAACATTCGTGAAGATCGAATAAGGGAGCACTTCAAACGGTAATACCAATACTAAACTTGTGTTTATTTTCAGAGACTATTGACTTCGACTACAGAGCGTGTTTTTTTTTAATTGTAACTTATTACGTTGTTAGCAAGGAGTTTTAAAATTTATAGAACAGTACTAAACGCCTCTAAAACGTATAAAAGTGTATTCAACAGTCTTTTGACGATGAAAAGTACGGTACAGTCGTCTTATAATAGCTTCTTTCTCGCTGTTGTATCTGTGGATAATATGCATTAAGTATTTCATACATAGTAGACATTTACACATGGCTTATCATATTATAATTTATTACTTTGTAGGCAGGAGGTTCCTTTAGTTTTCGTCTAACGTACCAGTCGACATTGCATTTTGTATACCTCAGACATGTAGGGACACTAATTGATTATCTCTTTTATGTTCTTTGTTGATTAGTGTCGACGTGCTTGCCATACCTATGGAAAAAATTAAACTAATAAAATGATTATGTTCACCCAAACAATAAAAAATCTACATCTTATGCAACTCTTAAGAGTTTTCAATGGATTTATGCTAAGTTACAGTCAGGAATTTAGAAAATTAGAAGAAGATTCTCTCAGGAAAAAATTAATCATTTACTAGTAATAAATTATATGAAAAGGTATTTGATTTGATTGAATAACCTACCTAACCTACCTACTTCTAAACTAGGTTTAGAAGGTGTCGTCATATTATTTATCTTAATGTGCAATCAAATTTAATTTACGTCAAAGATCTCAAGTATCATGAAGTTTTAAGTCAAGAATTATTAATAATATTGAACCAAGAAGTGTTTTACTCACTGCATGTTTTGGCAATTTAAGTTAACGTTATTATATCTGTTGAGGATTTTATCAAAACATTTAATAAAGGTTTTGTTAATATTTCTTTATAATTTACTTTGCGTTGACTTATTTCTTACTGCCGATCGATATCTCGTTATCTGCCCTGGTCATGAACGCTTTAGTATCTCAAAAAACGTTAAAAAGTTGTCACAATTTTATTAAGAGCCATTGTTGGTACTTGTACTGTAGATATTGTTACCTCACAATTTGTTCTCATTTTGTGTTTCATTGAAAAACCTAGGCGAAATAAATTTTGCATCGATGTTGATCATAAAAGAAGTCTTGTATACCGGGAACTTGTGACATGCGTTTACAGTCGGAATGGGGCCTTTACACCGTTAAATCTGCGTAAATGTGGCCCTTAAATAAATCACTAATAATAAATAAATGTTTTCAATATTTTATTACTTAAGGTACTATAATTTAGCCATTGTTTGTAAAAATGAGTCCAGTAAAGTTTTAAAATAAAAAAGCCAAAATGTCATAACTTGTTGTAAAATTAGGATTAGATTAGGATACGCTACACTTAACCTGTGGTCAGTTCCGGTAATTTGCTCTATCTCTCAAGACTTATCATATCTATAGTTTAGATTATAAGTAAAGTATTCTTCTGCAATGTTTAGGAAAAAAATGATCAAATCGTCCCAATTTCAAAATCTTTATAGATACCTAATACCATTGTATACCTAAATATCTATACGCATATCTGTAGTCTATTGGTACATACATATATATGTATGTAGATACACTTAAGCCTCAGTCCTGTCCGGGGTTGGCAGAGACGATAGGTGCAAACACTCCCTCATGCCAGACGTGCGTATAATAACAGGTGACGGTCTGATTTTAAATAAGGGAATGAAGGGCACCGTTTACTGAGTTTACCTGTTTAAACTGTTCTCTCAACATCTTTGGTATGCTTTCCATATCTTGTGATCATCGTCCACACATGTAACTCGGCCATACGCAAACCGGACTCGTGCTTTTTTAGTTTAGATGAACTGCTTGCTTCACTTGCTTGACACTTCTAGGGATATCAAACCAGTCTGTGTTCGAATCGCCTAATAACTGCTAACTAAAGAATAATAGATCGATCACAAAAATGGTACCATAGGGTTGTAACTTACAATCTTGCTAACTTGCTGAATCGTACTTACAACTTCCGCAAGCACGATTCCCAACAGACACTTTTCATCCTAGATAGTCGTGTACTTTCGATAAGTTTAATACTTTTACGATAGATGTTATTTAAAATAAAGACACTGTAACAAAAATAATTTAATATGTTACCAAATTTGAAAAATGTAGCTTACGAATTCTGTTCGTTCTCATTCTCTCGTGCGTATTTATGAAATAATGAAGTACAGACAATATGTAGCAGTTTTTTAATCAAGCTATCACAGGAAATATTTATGGCACCACTATTTGACATGTTTCTAGGAAAGTACTTGATCTAAGCTTAGAATACCATTACTAACCCCAGAAGTATACTTTTATTGATGTTCGTTTAAGATTGTTTTTTTTATAAAACATAAATTAAAAATGTATGTCTACAGCTAAATATCAAGCCATTTCCCAACTTTACCTCGTCAAGCACACTCTTAAGAAGCATCGCAAGATCAATCCTAAGAGCAAGGTCTACTTATTAAAGACAAGAGAAAATTAACCACTGGTACAAATAAATAATAGAACTAGTACAGATGAACTACTCTGCGAAATCATTTAAGTAGTGACCCTTTGACTTAAAGTGCAATCGCCCAGCACTAATAACCTTGAGTTATATTCACCTAGTTGCCTCTTTTTCTATAGCAAAACTCTTAAGTTTTCTGACGACGTTTACATAAGGTTGTTTGTGTGTGGTGGTTGCATACACCAATAGATAGACGAAGGTAAATTAACAGTAACTGCAGTGAAATTAAAACAACGTTAAATAAAGATATAATGTAAAGCAAAAAATATTTATATTAATGAAACAGTAAATGAAAATTATGAAATGGAAACAAACTATGCGAACTATTTCTATATTTATTTCTGAATAGTTGGAACGGGACTTATAGTTTATGTTCTCAGTAATTGTGGTATTATAAGTGTAGGAAATGGCCAGATAATGCCAGAGCAGAAAGCCATGGGCTTATCACCTTCGTCATCATATTGCATTTCGAAACGATGTTTTAACTATATTTTTCTACTATTAAATAAGATTAATCGATATACTTACACCATTGATTTTTCAATAAAACAAAGCAATTATGTAACTTATAGTTTTAAATAATAGTCAGTACACAGAAAATTTATTTATATCCGTTTAGTTTATACCTTATAAATTGTCTTGTTTTTTGTGGTGTGTTGGTTAAAAAGCTTAGGTATAAATAGTTAGACATATAGAAATGCCTATCTATCACTTATATTAGGTCTTTACCTATGAAATTGCCGTTTTGTATGCAATAAGTGAAAGTAACCACCCATGCAATCCCGTTCAGCTGATTTTTACAAGAAGGACATCAATAAACTTCCAATGCGTTGGCAAAGATGCGTCGATTGCATGGGTGATTTCTTCGAATAACAGAAATAAAAAAGTTTGAAAAAATAAGTACTTTCATTTATTTCATACAAAACGGGAATTTCATAGGTAAAGACCTATTAAGTCTAAATATACGTAATTAAAATCATAACACCTACCATTAACGGACTGTCTGACTGTGTTGTTCAGCTAAACCCTAAAGAATGGGAAACATTTATAATATCATAATAAATGCAATCATTACAATAATATAACCTTATATTATACATGTACGTATGTAAACAATTAATATAATTATAAATTACATTATGTATGTAAACTTGTGTTGTATGTTATACGTAGGGCATTTAGAAAGCTTTAAAACTAGAACATCATCATCATCATCAACAGCCTATACTAGTCCACTGCTGGACATAGGCCTCTCCTTAGAAAGGAGGTTTAAAACTAGAACACCAAGTTATATTGATAAAATCTTTTTATTAAATTTGTTCTCTCCACCAGCCTCTTTAGAAATTCAATCTCCTCTCCTCTCCTCTTTTTAGCGCTGAGTGCGCGGGTGCGTTGTCGAGGTGAAGCAATAGCCCGCGGAACCCGTTATTCGGTAGCTCATTTAAGTGAAAACTTGTGGCAGGTATTTCGTAGTATACCATTAGGCTTTAATGCTGGTTTGATTTTGTAATGTAATCGACACCAGATACGTCAAACTAAAGAAACTAGCGATCAAACTTTTACCTGCAATTCTTGATCGCTTCACTTTGGTAAGCGTTAGTTCTTTTTGAAACAGCCAAATTGTCGACTGAAGTTTGTTTATTGATCGTATTGATAAATCCAAGATTCGTCACCTGTCACAACGTCGTAAACATGCCGAGACCATTCCCGGCACCATTCACCACGGGCCAGCTTCTGAGGTCCGGTGAAGTTGTGCGGCAACTAAACTATCCTTCTTCGCTCTAACACTTCCCGATCCAATCTACAATATATGCTGAATCTCTTCGTATGTAGGTAATTCGTCTGTTTTCATTGATTAAATTTTTTCACTGCTAACACGTTTTCTTCAGTAACTGCGAAGGACGACCATTTCTTCCTAAGCGTAAGCAACCAATTAACTAAGGAATATTATCTACGCATGCTAAAACTAAGGGCTCGTGCAGCGTGCTGGCGATGTCGGCTTTGGTCGCATCGAGTCGCCGTGACTTTACAGATCGAATAGAACTAAATGGCTCTATAGTTGGTGCCAGATAAGATAACAAAACAAGTCATTAACCCTACTTTCGTCCCGATATTTCTAATAAGGTCACATGTCAAACCCTTTTTTTTCATATAAACTATCGATAACAAAGTTAAATATCGTTTGAATTTCCTCATACACAGGAACAAAGGGATCCGATTTAAGTCAGAAATATACATATTTATTGACTATAAAATACTGAATTTACAAGTCGTAAACGTTACTCTAATAATTTGTCTTATTTTTACGAATTATATATTTATTATTTGCAAAAAAAAAAAACAATATTTTAAGCATACCTTACAATTAAACTTTTTTTTAAATCTTGTTAGCTTGTGAAATGTCGTCAATATTAAAGTATGTTTTTTTTATAATCACATCTAAAATACCAAATAAGAAAAAACACCT